GAGAAGTAAGGGCTTCCTGGACATTCTTAGGGACAACCACCGAGGATAACAAAGAGATGAACTGGCGATAGGAGGCGGAAAGGTGAGTAAGGGAAACATGATTGGAAATAGGATAAAGGGTACAAGTGCGTTTACCTTTCCGTTAGGCAATAGGAAGATCAAAGTCGGAGGCTGGTAGCAATAGTGGCGGGTCTGGAGCTGGATCTGTCGATGGTGATGAAGCCGAAGGAGTCACAGCCGATACACATGGGCGATGTGTATACACGTGACAGATAGGTGGACGATCAACGGACGGTGGCACCGGAGGCAGGGACGTAGGCACAACTAGAACAAGAGGAAGAGGATCAGCCACAGGAAGGGGAAGAGGAGGAGGTGATGTGGAGGAAAAAGCATCACCGGACCCCACGAAGAACGGAGTAGACTCAAAGAAGGTAACATCAGCACATACCAAGGAATGGCGAGAACTAGGATGGTAACACTTGTACCCTTTCTAAGTCCGGGAATAGCCAAGGAATATGCACTTAAGAGATCGTGCATCTAACTTGTCATTCCTAGGACCCAGATTATGGATGAAGCAGACATACCCAAATACCCGAGGAGAAAGCGGAAACGGAGACATGGTGGGAAACAAGACATTAAATGGAGAACGACCATCAAGGATAGACATGGGCATCCGATTAATTAAGAAACAAGAGGTGAGCATTGCATCACTCCAAAAGGGTTTGGGAACATTCATGTGGTGCATGAGGGAGCGTGTCGTTTCTAAAAGATGCCGGTTCTTTCTCTCAACCACCCCATTTTGTTGTGGGTTGTAAGTACATGAAGTTTGGTGTATAATGCCATGTTGGTCCAAGTATTCTTGAAAGGATGAAGACAAATATTCACGACCATTATCAGAACAGAAAATTTTAATGTGAACGCCAAACTGATTGCAAATCTCAACATAAAATTTCTAGAAGATGATAAATAATTCACTTCTTTTCTTCATTAAATAGAGCCACGTCATCCTTGAAAAATCATCAACAAAAATAACAAAATATTTGTACCCATTATATGATATCACTTTATAAGGACCCCAAACATCTGAGTGAATTAAAGAAAAATGACTCCAATGCACGATTATCAACCCCAGAGCTAAAGGGAACACGATGGTGTTTCCCAAATTGACACGACTCACAATCTAGAACAGAAAGTTGACTCAACGAAGGGACCAAAAGACTTTAACACTTCCAGCGAAGGATGACCAAATCTACAATGCCACTGGAGAGGAGAGATAGATGACTGAAGGGTTGTTGACATTTTTCCACCACCATCAAGATAATACAGTCCACCGACTTCATGCCCTCCACCAATCTTCATCCTCGTCTTGAGATCCTGAAAAACACACATAGAGGGGTAAAATGTAATGGAGCAATTAAGTAACTTAGTTAGCTTATTAACAGACATAAGATTAAATGGAAGCTTAGGTACATACAAAACTGAGGATAGGGATAAAGGGTCCAGGTCAACATTACCAACACCACAAATAGATGATGTGGAGCCATTAGCAAATGTAACAGATTGTGATGTTGAGCAATGAGTGAGAGAAGAAAACACACCTAGAGTTCCGATCACGTGATCGGAGGCTCCAGAGTCAATAATCCAGGGGTTGGGTGTGGATGCCAAACAAGCCATACCTGAGTGTGCAAAAGTAGTTGTGTTCTGCTGCGACATGGATTGAACAAACCTTTCATACTCATCACGAGGAACACTCACCATCTCCTTGCCTGGACCATCTGAAGAGGTAGAAGGCATCTAATCAGCTAAACGGTTCTCCTGTCTAAAACTG